TCTCAGGGAGGCTGTGCTGAAGACGGTGTGGGGGAGAGTCTGTCCTCCGCTGAGAAAAAGGTAAGAACTATATCAAGGTACTGTCCCGTGGAACAGAAAATTGTGAGAACTATATTCTCAGTTGTATTATAAATAAAATTCCTTCTTTGCTCTTTGAGATCTCGCACAGATTATTTTTCTGTTCTGTAATTGACTGCGTAATTGGTCTCATAACATTCTTATGTGTTTTTAACTTAATAAAAAGTAACAAATGACAAGACCCTGATATGCCAGTCTTCCCCGCTTAGTGTTAAGCAGCTAAATTATCCAAAGACCTCCAGCCATTTTGTTAAAATGTCAGGGCATCACCCGACCGGTTTGTAATCAAGCCCGTTGTTCCACACTCCCACAACCATTTGGATAAAGACCGCCTGTTCTCGGTTTTAAGAAGTGTATGAGTGTGTGAGGAACTAGTTTCAATCTGCGGTTCGCCAATGTAAAGAGCTGAGCAGCGCTGCTTTTCATGTAGAGTTTGGGTATTATGATGACGTAAACTAGGAAGATAATGTATTAATTAAAAATATAGAAAAATAAACAATGATATCTAATAAAGCAAACATTTAGATTCATAACCCCCATTGAGTCAGTTTTAATTAAGCAATGAGGTCATGCTGATTTTGCAGACGGAGTTATTTAGTTCTTTAATGAAAAACATGTTGATACCCTTCTCTCGTTGCCTTTATAAACATAACGTGTCTGAGATAATTTGAGGAGTATAGATTTAGAAATGTGTCTTTTGGAGGGCAAGGGGCCGCAGTGGTTAGCCTTGCTCAGTGAGTTTGCCTCAAGGATGTATCTGGTTCATCTCCTCCGGTCTGATTCCGGGGCGACAATCTGATTTCTGTAAAGAGACCAAAACTGTGCGTCATATTCTAAAGGAGGTCTTAAAAAAATATTGTATAATTTAAATAGAATACTCCTCGACTTAAAATCTACACCTTTAACTCTTTATCCTTACTGTCAATCAGTCTCCCTGATATATACATA